TGTAGAATTGTAGAGCCTTCGGCTTTCCTCATTTCTTTTTCATTTTTATGTCAGAAAGTTACCGATAGAATGACCATTCTATCCTCTTAGCGGGTTAATTTCATTTTTTGCCACTAAAATTAATTTATCTCAATTAGATCGTAAATTTCAATTATTCAATGTTAGCCACTCCGTTAGCTCATATGGTTAAATTAACATCCTAACTCTACATGGAAAAAATTGACGATAATCTAACTAGGAATGGGGAACTTTCACTCCCACGTGTCTCCCTCCGCCCACTTTTCGATATTTCGTGACATGGACGGGATGGTAAGGATCATCTCATCCCTACTCCATCCCATTGTCATATCCCTAAATCTAACACGTCTTATACTTCAAGGTAATTTTGCAACTAATCAAGTCATGACTACAAAATTAGAAAATATATTGAGGGCTACCATATCATGGTTCATTATCAGGACAGATGGATTAACGTTAAAAGTAAATTTAAGTTAAGTATTATTATATATTAAAGTTAAGTGACTCAATTTAGATTTTATTGAACTTGTGATGACCAAAAATGATATTTACCCTTGATCAACCGTCTCCCCGCTTCCTCACACACAGAGACGTGGCAGGTCGATTGGCCAGACTAATCACATTTACAGAGTGGAAATTTTCACTAGAGGGCACCCAACTTTAAATTTTGTTTCATATTGGTCATTCACTTTCAATGACTTGACTCGTATGTTTCAAATTGGAAAGTGAGACTCACGTGTTCGCACCTAAATCAATTAATCCAAGATGATGTCTTGTCATGATTTGACCGGACATATACACGTAATTTTTCAGATACTGTGTTACGGCTTAACATGTTACATATTCAAAATACGAGCAACATACTCATCATCATGTTTCGGCTACAAGAAGCTGATCAAATCTGGCAATTCTTGATGATGATGTTGTTGGGGAGGTGGTAGAGTCAATGAGGCTGCTATAAATGGATTCTTTGGTACTTCTGTAGAATTTTCTTCGTCGAATTTCTCCCAATTATCTGTGATTATAGTTTTAAAATCATTCCTCCAATCCATCACAACATTGGCTTTCTCCTCCTGTCGATTTGGTACCAATTCGTATTCGTCATCCCCAAATTTATCCGGGAACCCTTCGATTATCTGCTGGAGTTCTTGGATTCCCTCGTCAGGTGCGCGCTCAATGCAAGGCAATTCTGAGGAGTTCACCAAACCAATGTCATGGCAAAACTCAAAGTAGGAAGAGAGTTGGTCACCTTGAATCATTGCCTTCTGCACAATTTTGAGTGCCATTGTTGCTTCAACCTTACCAGAAGAATAAATATTCATCAAAACAGTGGCAATCCCTCTGCAAATATTCCCATAAACGTCAAAGATCTCGATTATAATCCAATCCATTGCCTCAAATACGAGAGGAACCATAGCTGCTTTCGAAAGTGGCTTAATCTGCATCAACAAATCAAGCAAACTCTGCAATTTCTGCAACAAAACCAACTCATGCATTACCACAAACACATGGTGTGCATCTATCCCCCTAATTCCTCTTCCTTCCCCATTGCACGTCTGGAAAACAAAAATCGATTTCTGATCAAGAAACCTATAATACGCCCTCACAAACGCATTTTGGGACCAAATTTTTCCTGGCTTATCATGCCCATCTTTAAAATTCGACAAATCAAAGGGCAATCTTCCAATCTTGGGAACAGAAGAGGCCTTACAATTAATCACACCATGCATTAACATCAATCCCTTTAATGCCACCACCCAGGATTCCTACCCAACGCAACAACAACGGCTGCCGTAGAAAACCCTGCACTAAACAGGGGAGAAAACTCTACCAAGACTCAAGAGCTCTTAGAGAGGCAAGAGAGAGAGGCGAGAAGGTTCTCCATTCTTCTTCTGGCTCAATGGAAAACCTCAGACTACCACTACCAAGTACCAAGAGCCTGTAGTGTAATGCTTGCTGATCCCACATCGAAGTCTTACGGATGAAGCACAAGAAATTATGGCTATAAATAAATGGGCCAACATAAACTTTGTATGTTTCCTGGGCCAATTGGGTTGGAAATTATGAAGTTAATAATTTATTAATTTATACTATATATTTATTATAGTAAATAAAAAATTAAAATTAAAAAAAAAAACTAAAAGAATGCCCGCCTTTGAGGGTGTTTTAGTGGTCAACGCAGCGTTGACCGCATTTTTACACGCATTGTGGGTATGCGAGGCGTTTAACCCACGCGTCGCGCCAATGCGCGCATAAGCGGCGCATTTTAACGCCTTTTAGAACACTGCTATTTGTCAGTTTAAAACACAATTAATTTTTTTCATCCGATATTTTCTCTCCACGTCACACTATGTAATTCATTATTTACATTTTTTTATATACAAGTAACAAGATCATAATCCAAAATAAAGAACCTACTTTCAAAAATATACTAAACTACCAAGAAACAACCTTTTCAGGGGTGGTGCACCTTCCTATTATTTTCTTTCAGGTTTAGTTCAACAGCAAATCAAACCGCGTGAAACAAATTGCCCCCGGAAATCAATGAATGATTTATAATTTGATTAAGAAAGATAATGGAGAAGCTTGGAAACAAAGCAGAATTTGATTTTTGTTCTCATCCCCCGTTATCACGAAGAGAAGAGAATGGAAATTGCCATTCGTGGTCGACAACTCGAATGTGAAACAAAAATAATGTGTACTGTAAATCAGAGACTCATGGTGCTGGCCAATGGCTCGATTAATCTTCTCTTTACAGATTTCGTTCTTCAGTGTTCTAGGATAGACAGATTATAGACTCCAATTTTACCTCGTCATCAACTGTAACTAATGACTTGTATTCATCGTCCCCAAGCATGTGTTCAACTTCTTTTTGGGCAGAAATTCTAAGCTCGTCCAAAAAATGGAGGGCAAGAACCAAAAGTCGAAGTGGCAAAACATATCGTGGTTCGTTGCACTCGAATCAACTTACTGGATCCTTGCCAATATGAAGGCAAAACCATGTGAATGACTAATTTTAAAAACTATTCTATGAATGCTGATATTGTCTTTGTAAGAAAAACTCGTCTCTTATGTAACAAATGACATTATATTTATAATAGAAATTTTATTAGTCATCAAAATGAAATAAAATTCAAACTTGAGTGATGAGTTTGAAGGAAAAAAAATTGAGTGGTTAAAATGAAATTTGAATCCTAGAGCCAGGATTTGGTGAGCTCTGGGAATGGCAGTCTCGTGAATTCCATGATATCCAAGGAATTAGATGACATTTCATGTCAACAATATTCTCGTCGGCGTCGATTACTAAACAATTGGACCCCGTTTATATATAATCATAAAACAGGAAACAGTCTCTACATCAATCTAATCCAATCAGTTATAAAACCCTAATTTCCCCATTTTCACATATTCTCACTTATATAGATACGTATCTACATATAAATCAAAAAACTCAAAGAAATGGGGGATGTAGCAGATAAATTGGCGTATTTTCAAGCGATCACAGGAATCGAAGACCGCGATTTGTGTACGGAAATTCTCTCAGCCCACGGATGGGACCTCGAACAAGCCATTTCTTCTATCACCTCCACCGACAACCATCGACCCGCTGCCGCGTCCGGGTCCGCCACCGCAAATACAAATCAAGGAACTGAAGACGCTGGCTTAGTTCTGGCGGCGAACGGCAATAATCAACCCCCCGGCGTTGTCTGGAAATTGGTAACGCTCCCGTTTTCTATCATTTCGGGTAGTCTAGGGTTGATTTCTGGTGCAGTTGGGCTCGGTATATGGGTGGCGAGTGGAGTCTTGTCGTATTCACTCAGTATGATCGGGCATAATAATTCGGGCCGGGCTGGTACTACTCCTTTGGTGTCAGTGTCTCAGTCCACGTCGGATGCCATGGACTTTGTGTCGAGTTTTGAGAGGGATTATGGGAGTATGAGGCCGAATTTTGTGGCTGAGGGTTTCATGGACGCGCTGCAGAGGTCGAGGCATGCTTACAAGCTTTTGTTTGTTTACTTGCACTCGCCAGAGCATCCTGACACACCTGCATTCTGCGGAAGAACTTTGTGTAATGAGACATTGACAGAGTTTGTCAATGAAAATTTTGTGGCCTGGGGTGGGAGCGTTAAGGCCAGTGAAGGGTTTAAGATGAGTAATAGCTTGAAAGCTTCCAGATTCCCCTTCTGTGGAGTGGTTATGGCTTCCACAAACCAGAGGATTGCGCTGCTACAACAGGTATATAGTAATGTATCTGGCATTAAACTTTGATTAATACTTATTTTTTACCAATTTCAATTAGTACTTAGTAGAATATACTTCTACTGAGATTTTGTTGGATACTGATTTATTTTCGGTGATGAAAGAAACTAGAAGTTGAGAATTTATGTGTATGGACGGGTTTTGTGAATAATTTTGGATATCCCTGCCCACTTATAGGCATTGATAGGTGATGCACTCCTTTTGAAATTTTAGTGATGAGGATATTATTTTTATTTTTTATATAGATGGATGGGTTTGGTTAATTTTATTTTATCATGGATTTAGTAAGTTTGTTAAATGCACAAGGGGAGCAATGGATTATGTGAATTTATTTGCATGATTGTATATTTTCACTTGTCTGAAGAATTTTTATGAACACCTAGGTTAATTGTTTAAATCTTTTTTTTTAACTTTTGTCTATACCATTTGATGTGAGTTTCTTTCACCATTTTTTTTTACATTTTGGATGCGGGGAATTCTGAAGTCATCTGTTACCTTGTTATCTCTTAGATCTGAAAATAGATATTAACTTCTTTGGGCTTTTTGGAATTGATGAGGACACATTGTTTATGGAAGGTGTGAGATATGATTGTTCTTAGGGCCGGACAAAACTCAAGAACTGGACCGAACCGAGCGGTTTTTCATAAATTAAATACCCGAACGGGTATCTGAATCAAGAACCGACAGGTTCGGTTCGGTTCTCGATTCTAGACCCAAAATCGAAGAATCGAATTTAAATAATTGTTTTAATTTTTTATATTGAATTAATTAATTTTTTTAATTTTTCTAAACAAATTAGCAAATTAACCGATTTAGTGATTAATGTTTTAACTTCCAAGCCAAGTCCATGCCTAGTTACCCAGCCCAACCCAATTTCTAAATTCAATTTTTTGGTCTTATTATTTATTTCATTCTTAGCCCAAGATTTAAGTTTTTTAAAGTTTTTATCATTCTTTTTTCAATTTCACACTTTCATTCGGTAACCACTGAGTTAATGACCCCAAATCATTTCATAAATTGAAAACCTATATCTACATGCCCAAATCGAAATCGCTCACTGCCGAGTCCGACTTCCCCTCTCCAATGCCCATCGAAGTCGCGACCTCCAATCACGACCACCAATCGTAGACCATTAAAAATCTGTTAAAAAATTTAATTATGGTACGGAACAGAACAGAATCGACTCGAACGGTTCCAAAATTATATTTGGACCCGACGGTTCCATTTATTAAATATTCGAAAATTTTGGTTCGATTCTCTTCATAACAGAACCGAACCGGACCATGTCCAGCCCTAATTGTTCTAATATGGCAGTTAACTTAGGATTTGGTTTGCAACTTAAATATTTGCATCAATGTCGGTTATACGTTATTAGGATTTTGCAAGTTTTTAGAGTCTCTGTTTTATGCTTTGCTTTTCCCGTAATGAAACATGAACTATGATGCACTTATTTTATATTTCAATGGCTTCTGAAAGCAAGATAGGGGTGGGCAGGACTGAACCAATTGAAAATGGGAATTTTATACATGGAACATTCCCATGTAAGGTTGGAATCAAACCTGACCAGAACCGTCTGGTTCCGGTTTGGTTCTAAAAAACCAATTTATTTTTTTTAACAAAACAAAAACCAGTGCAGCACATTCAATTTCCCTCACATTCCCACAATGCAGTAAAAGGAAAAATAATTATAGAAAAATCATATCAAATCGGTGTCTATATAGAAATTGTTACTGCTGATAGTCTTGGAAGGAGAGAAAGGATCTTTATAAGTTGGCGTGTGATAAACTTTTTGTGGAAAGTGATTTAAAACGGAAAATCGCCGAAGTGAGTCTTTTTATGTGTCTGGGTTGCTTCTAGGTGGCGTTATTAGTGCTGATTGCCATTGGAGTAAAAGGACTTGGATAATTTGGTGTTTCCATGTGCAAGGAGCCTGGGAGGATGCCATCCATCTTCTGTGCATTGCAGTGTGTCTGGCTGGAGACTTATAGCTACGCTGTTACTGGTTAAATGTGTATTGGAAATCTTGGTTGAGTGGAAGGGGTTCTTGCTGTAGGATGGTATGGAAATTAGTGCCTTACTACATTTTCTGGACTCTTTCAGGAAGAAGAATTGGATGTCAGAGCTGAAGTTATAATTCCATCTCCACTTGCGTATTTTTGTGGATTGTTTTTATGACGACGTTAGTTCTTAATTTTTATGTATGTTGATGTATAAAATAAGTTTGAATTTGAGGCTTGAGGTTTACTGAATTCTATCAGATTCATCTTATTCATTTGGCATCATTATATGCCTGTTCTAAATTTTGTTAATCTAATTACATATTTTGCAACCACCATTTGTAAGGTTTAGTACAGGGGTATTCCGCTTGCATCTTGGTGTATGTTGAAGTAAAGACTATGCTTCATTAGGGCGTTTAATAAAATCAAACTTCTAAAAGATTTATTGTGGGGGTCAAATGTCACTGTGCATGGTGGAAAAAGTAGGCTAAAGGGGGATCAACTAATTTGATCCTTTATTTTTTCTCCTGTATTTAAGATACCTTTGAATCCTGAGATGAACGTTGTCTGGTGGATCTTTTCTTCTAACTTTATTATTCCCTGAAACCTTTCAATAGGCAATTAAGATAATGAAAATTTGTTACTGTTTAGATGTTCTGTGTTGTCTAATTTTATTATGTATATTTGTCTCTTATATTTGTATCTTGTTTGAGAAATTAAAATGAAAATCAAAGCAAGGGGAGATATCTCTAATCATTTGGAAAAAATTTATTCTCTTACAGACAGATATGGTATGCTAATTACAATATTGATTTGTTTACCTGGTTTACTCAATTTGTGCAGGTTGACGGACCAAAATCTCCTGAAGAAATGCTCACTATACTGCAGAGAGTGCTTGAAGAAAGTGCTCCGGTTCTTGTTTCATCCAGGCTTGAAGTGGCTTGAAGCAGAAGAAAGAAGAAGCAACTTGCGTTTGAGGGAGGAACAGGATGCTGCCTTCCAAGCAGCACTTGAAGCCGATCAAGTATGTAGTTGTTCAACTTATTTGGCCGCAGCCGTCAACTATATGTCCTCATTCTCTCGGCATTTTTGATTTTTTCTTTTTAGTAGTACATTTCTTTAACTATATGTCCTACACTAGGCTAGGGAGCGTCAGAGAAAAGAACAAGAAGAACGGTTGGAACGTGAGGCTGCTGAAGCTCAGCAGAAAAGGATAGAGGAGGAAGAGGCTCGGGAAAGTGCTGCACGTGAAGCTGCTGAAAAAGAAGCTGCAAAAGCTAAGATGCGTGAAGAGAAAGCTGCATCTCTAGGTGCAGAACCTGAGAAAGGACCGGATGTTACTCAAGTAAGTATTTTATTAGAAAATGGCCAGTTTTTGTTTACGTTTAACATGGAAAAAGTCGAGATTTATATTCGAGGATGATTTAGGAGAATAACACTTGATAAAGAATTTAAATCAATACACTTTCGAGTTAAAGTGCTTCGTGCTATTTACTTTGTAACGTCATTGTGGTGTGGATTGAGATGATGTAAAATTTCTGTCTATAACTCCATTGACCAAGAGATCATATCTATTCAAATGTAAAAGAACTAACTTGCATGAAATTAATGTTCATGGTTCTTCCCATTTGTTAGGTTTTGGTCCGTTTTCCAAATGGAGAGCGCAAGGAGAGAAGGTTTCATTCTACAGCAACTATACAAACACTGTACGACTATGTTGATTCTTTGGGTTGCTTAGAAGTCGAGAGTTACAGCCTCGCGTCCAACTTTCCTCGCACTGTCTATGGCCCTGATGAGCTTCCTTTGTCCCTGAAAGAAGCAAAATTACATCCTCAGGCGAGCCTTTTCGTTGAATCAAATTCATGAGAATAACGTCAACCAAATCTAGTAATCCAAGATGAAACTTTGTAGGGAATTTCCTTTGATGTGTTTTTCTGATAGCTACAACTATGATACAATTAACGAGATCCTTTCTGATCCCACATTGTTGATATTTGACTTTATTGCATATTCAATTTTGCAGAGAGGCGTATAATAACGAATAATGTATTTGTACGGCATGTGAAATGATAAGGTAAATAAAAATAAATTTTTTGGTAACGTGCAAAGTTTGTAACATGTGCGACACTTTAGCAGTCAATAATTTCAATTCCTTTACATATACACGTATGCATTACAGAATAAAAATTTTAATAGCAAATTGCACGAGCCCTATAGATCCAAAGGTTTATGATAATTACATAGATTCAAGATTTACTTTCCGTAACGCTTTCCATCTAAATTTATGAAATTTGCTCAAAACTAAAAGAGAAAGTCCAAAAGAATACGAAAATGGGGCAAAATAGGAAAGACAAAATATAGAAGGTTGAACTAAAAAATTATTTATAAAGAAAAAGTAGAAAATGTTAAGTGGCGTCGCCCGGACTCGAACCGGAGACCTTCAGTGTGTTAGACTGACGTGATAACCAACTACACCACGACACCTCTTTGTTCATGAATTGTGTAGTAATTTAATGATTTTAAAATGGGTTTTTACTCTTGGACATCACTTAAAAGCGTTGTTAGTAAATCGCGTTACTTTCTTTGATTCTCGTGCTTTGTTGACGCCAATTTAATTCTCAAAATCCAATTCTAATTTCTATATTTGAAATTTACAGAAAAAAAATGAAAAATAATAAATCCATGCTTTCCACAGCAAGTCGAAACGAAATTCCCCTCTTAGCGTTATATATGTTGATTCATCCATCATTTTCCATTAATCAATTGTGTCTAGGTTTTATAATTTCTCTCTTTTCAATTTCCTATTTCAATTGTCAATAGGTTTTTTTTTTTTTCGATTTCTAGGGTTTCCTATCTCATGACTTAATTCTTTGTTCTTTGTCCCAATCGACTTCTTAATTTTTATAATTGGCTTTTTTATTTTCGGGGTGAAGAATTAAATGAGATGGCTAGGGTAATTGGAAGAAAAGAGAATTCGAATTCTTCCTTGCATTCACTGCAACTGTATTTCTTTGGATGTCCATTTCAATTTGGGTCGGGCATCGAAACATTTTCCGTTGCACGTGAAGCCTTCTCTGAACATTTCCTTTTTTAACTAGAATCATAATTGTACAGTTCAATTAGGCTTTCATTTTTTTTTCTCTTTTTTCTGGATTATATTTTTTTAGTTTTTTGGGTATGAATTGTTGGGATATTGTGTGGTTTAGTGAGAAACCGAAGATGGAACCTACTGAGTCTGATGTTGTAGAAACTTCCCCTGACAAGCGTTACATTCGGGTACATTCTTAATACAAACAAATTAGGTTTGAAGTCTTTGCATTGCTGTACATTGTTTAGCTACATAAAAGCTTGTATTTCTAGTTGATTTGGTAATTTATTTTTAATGGAATAACTCTGTGTAGCGTTCTTGTTTTATTTTTCATGTCCCTGCATTGAATTAGATTTGTAAGCTAGGTATAAATTAGTAGAAATTTTTCCGTAACGTTTTGTGTTGTTTTCCGATTTAAAAGTTAGGTATAAATTATTAGAGATTTTTCTATAATGTTTTCTGTTGTTTTCCGGTTTCTTTAATTTCAGTAACTTCGCTTAAATTCAATAATTATGTAATGTTATTAATTTTGGAACCATCACTATTTGCCAGTAAGTCCAGAGCCAAGCATTCTTGTTATTTGGCGGAAGATATATGTTAATCATTGATGGGATATGAATGATCAATATGTACTCATATGCCCGTGTGCGTGAAAAAAATAATATTGATATGTGAGTTTAATATGTGTAATTATCTTTCTCTTTTGTTTCAAAATCTCATAAAATATAATGTTGGAAGGCATCTTCTCTATTGGACAATCATGCCTGTTAAGTTGATTGGAGCATGGGACAGACTCTATTTATTGTTTTCATGATCATAATTCATAATTTTATTATAATTTATCTTTCTGAGTCAAAAATTGCTTTTATTGATGTCTCTGGAATTCTGACTAGTTTAGAGCTCGTGAGTATGTTTTGCAATAATATGATGAAATTGAATAGTAACTTTGGAGAATATGAATCTTTTTAAAAGTTAAGCCCCTCTGCAGCTTTACAAGAAAAAATATCTACAAAAGTGTGCACAAGCATGTATGAAAAATTAATTCATACTACTGGCTTGCTGTTTTCTTCTTTATTTATTTGGATATCTTGCTTAATATTTTGGGCTTTGGTCGTTTTATTACCATTTTCTGTTTCTTTCTTCAGTATAATGAAATCCTTGGGAGAGGAGCATTCAAGAATGTGTATGCTTCCTAGACCATCTTCTGTTTCTCTGCTTATAGACTAGTTTGTCACATTTAGGAACTGTATTATCCAACAAGTGTAATTATGCATCTGCCTGTCAAAATTTAATTCTGCTCGCTCTCTTTTGTAGCTACAAGGGGTTTGATGAAATAGATGGAATAGAAGTTGCTTGGAACCAAGTGAACATTGATGATGTAATGCAATCACCTGAACATTTGGAGAGGTTATATTCTGAGGTTCACCTGTTAAAGACCCTGAAACATGAAAACATCATAAGGTCATATGCCTCTTGGGTGGATGACGAGAACAAAACTATTAACATGATAACTGAGTTGTTCACCTCAGGAAGTTTGAGGCAGTAAGTGTTGTCTCATTGTCTTGGTTCCTATTCTATTTGAGCTGTTCACTTTAATGGTTTTTTTTCCTACTTTTCTCTTGCTAAGAAAAAGAAATTATTTTATTTTTTTACTTATGATTTAGGTACCGTAAGAAGCATAAGAACATTGATTTAAAGGCCTTCAAGAACTGGGCTAGGCAGATCCTGCGAGGTTTACATTATCTGCACACTCACAGTCCACCTATTATTCATAGAGATTTAAAATGTGACAACATTTTTGTTAATGGGAATCATGGAGAAGTTAAAATTGGAGATCTTGGATTGGCCACAATTATGCACCAACCTATTGCTCGAAGTGTTATTGGTAATTGCTTTTCTTATCGAGAGATTTTGCCACTTTTATTTAGCGTGCTTCTCTAGAGTTGTCAGCCCTTTTGATTTTTTCACAGGTACTCCCGAGTTCATGGCCCCAGAGCTTTATGAAGAAGAATATAATGAGCTGGTCGACATTTATTCTTTCGGAATGTGTATGTTAGAGTTGATTACCTGTGAATACCCATATAGTGAATGTAAAAATCAAGCACAAATATACAAGAAGGTCACTTCAGTAAGTTCATTGACCACTGCTATACTGTGTCATTTAGAAAGATCCTAAAAAGCATCTTCCTCGTATAATAGAAGTGTATCTCATTTATCATCATAATCAATTCACTGCAGGGCATAAAACCAGCTGCTCTGAATAAAGTTAAGTGCCCCGAAGTGAAACAGTTCATAGAAAAATGTTTGGTTCCAGCATCTCAGAGGTTAAGTGCTATGGAGCTCTTGAAAGAAGCATTCCTTTTGGCTGAGGATCCTAAGAATTTAATGTGTGATACTCTGCAGCTAACTGATTTTACACCTAAGTCAACAATCTCGCTAAAATCTGATTCGCCTTTCATGGACCTGGACCCTAATTACAAAATGCTGTCAGCTGGCACTTGTGCACATAGCATGATTGGAACTTCTTCTACTGTAAAACTTCAGAGATACAGTGAGAGAAATGAATTTACCATAAAAGGGGAAAAGTTTGATGATGATACAATATCTTTAACTTTGCTGATTGCTGATTTGTCCGGTACGTAATTATCTCGTGGATAATTAAAGATCTCTTGCTAAGCACTCTGTAAACCCCCACCCCCCACCTACAAAAAAAGAAAAAAAAGAAAAAGAAGAAAAAAAAGGAACATTATATGGTTAGTAATTTTAATATTTCTAGCAGGTCGGATGAGGAATATTCACTTCATATTTTACCTTAATGCTGATACGGCACTTTCAATTGCTTCTGAGATGGTAGAACAACTTGATTTGTGGAGTGAAGATATTGCTTTAATAGCCGAGTTAATTGACAGCTTAATTTTAAGACTTGTACCCACTTGGAAAACATCTTCAGGAAGTTTGGGCGGAGCTCAGAGTTCTTACGGTGTTTCTGCTGTGCTTCAGAGTAATCAGGTATTAGCACCCCATGCCGAAGACCATGGATCAAATATCGTTGCTGGCAGAGAAGCTAGTGAGCAAGGCTGTTCTTCACAGTTTTCCGGATCAAAACGCAATGATGCTGGAGAATCAGTTGGACTATCTTCGAAACACAATGTGGTATCAAACTCAGATGCCAGACATAAGAATGATTGGATATCAGCTTGTGACCTTGAGAAGCACAAGGTTAGCATTGGCGAGTCACTAATGAGTGAATGCACGAAGAATTCATGGAGCTCCTTTGCGGGTTCATGGAATGGTGTATCTAATGATATGTGTGTAAGCATTTCTTCTTTGTCGCTGAGTGAAAAAGACCACGACATAGAACACTGCCATGACCTGAAGCTAGAGCTTGATGCAATTGATTTACAGTATCAGCTACGTTGCCGGGAGCTTCTGAGGATGAGGGAGGAGGCAATTGAAAACGTCAAAAAGAGGTGGATCTCAAAGAAATTCTAAACATAATAGTTTTTCTTGTCCTTTTTCTATCCAACTGATTTCCTTACTCCATTGGGTAAACTTTACTTTTGTTTTCACTTATAGTACTTCAGGGTGTTTTATAAGCATTTTTAACGTTTGCAAGTTTATTGTCAATTGCTGGTGACCAAAATACCTCTAGCAATGTTGACATTTTTTTTGCTCATGTTATTTGCATTTCATGAAGCAGGCAAAATTGTGGCTTGTCATAGCCTTTGAAACGTGTTGTCCATTTCCAAATTGCACTTGGGATTGGTTTCAGTCATCC